CCCCGAAGGTCAACGCCTGCTCCGTTCTTGCCCTGGTGAACGGGACAGGCCCGTGCACAGATGTGTTGTGTTTTGGCCTTGGGCATAGCATCTCTCTCTCTCTCTCTCTCTCTCTCTCTCTCTCTCTCTCCGAGCACAAGGGACTTCTGACAGCCAAGAGTGTGACCAAGGCCTCTCTGCACTACCGTGGTCACCGAGACAAAAAAGAAAGGGGTTGTATTTGAAAGGGGTTGTATTTGTCCACGTTCTAGCGGAAGTTTCATTCTCATTTCGCACACTTGCTAAGGAGTGGAGCAAGGGCCCAAGTAGGTGAAAGGAATGAAACTCAACCCAGAACATGGAAAGGTATGTCGCTACTTTACTTTTACCTTTTCACCTTGCCGCTCTCAGCCCCCCAGACGTGGTCCAGAACTGAGCCTACTTTTACCTTTTTACCAAGGCTCTCAGGACCCGACCCCCTTGCGCAGGTGACGTTGGTCTCGTTCACTCGAACATAACGCATATGCGTTGTAAACGAATACAACGCACGGTATGTGTTGTATTCGATTACAACGCATATGCGTTATGTTCGGGGGAAGACGGTAGGGGTGCTGGTAGGAGAAGCCAGCACTAGCATTCCCGGGGAGGCTCCATCTATTGGTGGTGGGGAGCAGCACCTGCTGGAAAGCGGGTCCAGCGTCCGGAACATTGTAGATATTTGTTTGATCAGACATATAATTGTGATGACAGTCAGCTGCAGGGCTCACCTGCAAAGTACAGAAAATAGGGAAGTAGAGCTTACAGAACTGCCTGATTTGCTTGCCGACCTGACAACCTACATGGAGTCTAAATTGAGTGGTAGTATACACAGATCACATGTCTGCTGCTGAGGGAATTGGAGGCAGATCTCCCCAATCCCCTCCGCAAGAAACCCTTCCTGTTCTCGTGTTAGAGTCTTTTATTGCGATTTGCTTTTGCTGTTCGTCAAAACCTGAAAACACCAAACCCTATCCCGGCACATCGACATGAGACACCTTATAACTCGCCATGCCTGGCATTACGACTCTAAGAGTTTGAAGTATCTCCTCACATTCCCACCCATTTGCTCCTCTCCTCTGTCCATTGGATTCATTATGACCTCTGCAAAATTTGCTCCATTGCTCTATTTTGAATTTTCACTATATAAGAATTCCTCTTTGAGGATTGATCCAATTTCCTTCCCTGCGCTTCGTTACGTTCGTTCTCTGTGTTTGCTTCTCTCCCTGCTGTCTGCTTGCCACCCTCTCCTGATTCCATTTCATGTGTGTGTGTGTGTGTGTGTGTGTGTGTGTGTGTGTGTGTGTGTGTGTGTGTGTGTGTGTGTGTGTGTGAGAGAGAG